AGGTGACTATACCTTGCTTCAAGCATTTTCCCCAATTCATTTACACCTATTGACCCCTGACTCAGATGACAGTATTTACCCTGATCAGGACCCATCTTTATATTTTCACTTACTTTTCCTTCATTCTTCAAGCTTCTCTTGACTTCTTCCTCCAAAAGATAAGGTCCTGTACTTTTTTGAATAGCCTAAAGTGAAAAAACTCTCCAATTTAGGTCTATAACACTGAAAGCAAATTTGTTAATGTGAAACCCTGATTTTGTCATTCCCATTTACAATCTACAGAAATCCTCCCAGTCCAAAGCCACTGTTGTTTGTGAAAATAAATACAACCAAGACAATCAACCCAGAAAATTATTTTGAGGAGGTGGAGATGTAATGGTGAGCAACATCTACTCAAGTAAGCCAAACTGAAGAAATGAGCTAAGCAAAGCACTTGTCTAATATCCTGTCATGTGGGAATAGCTACTTGGGTATGCAATTTAATGTATACCACATCTAACTACCTGTTTCCTTTAAAATAAACTGTGTATGCAAGAAATTTGGTAATCCTTGATAATACTTGGTTTTCAGAATTCACATTAATTATTTATTTATTTATCCTCACCTGAGGACATTTTTCCATTTTTTGTTCAGATAGAGGGGGAGGGAAAGAGAGAGAGAGAGAAACATCGACGTGAAAGGTAAACATCGAGTGGCTGCCACTCGGATGATCTAACCAAGGCCAGGGACAAACTACAACCGAGATACGTGCACTTAGCGGAAACCAAACCCAGGTCTCTCTGGACCGCAGGCTGACGCTCTAACCGCTGAGCCAAACCAGCCAGGGCTCAGAATTCACTTTAAATAATCATTGTAAAATATCCATCTTTTCTTATCTTTTTTAAAAATGATTTTTTTTTTTTTTAGAGAGAGAAATATCAACTTGTTTTTCCACTTATTTATGTATTCATTGGTTGATTCTTCTATGTGCCCTGAGCCAGGATAGAACCCACAACCTTGGCATATTGGGATGACTTTCTAACCAACTGAGCTGCTTGGCCAGGGCTCCTTTTTATCTACTTAGTAAGGTGGTTTTACAAGATCAATTCCTACAAGTAGCATTATTTATCATCCCAAAACAGCTCTTATTGCCTGGAGTGAAAGGTGATGTTTTTTGTGTGACTTGATTTTATTATTTTTAGTGTTATGATTAGCCTTTAATTTTATCATAACCCACTTCAGTTCACTTCAGCAAGAATCATCAGATAATGAAGAGTAATGATGAAAAGATTTCTCAAACAAAATAAACCATATTCTAAGTCCCTAATAATACTATCTAAAATAAGACAACGATCAAGTAAATAAATAAGCAAATATTTTACTCAAGGATCAATTTCTAGATTTGATTTTTTAATTTTTACCCTCACCCAAGGATATGTTTTATTGATTTTTAGAGAGAGAAAAGGAAAGAGAGACAGACAGAGAGAGAAACGTGGATATGAGAGAGAAACATCAATCAGTTGCTTCCTGTACAAATCTTGACCCAGGATTGAACTCGAAACCTAGGTATGTGCCCTGACTAGGAATTGAACCCACAACCTTTTTTGGTGTACAGGATGATGCTCGAAACAACTGAGCCACCTGGCCAGGGTTTGGATTTTTAATGTTGTTTTACCTTCCAAATATTTGTGTCCAATTTTTTGCTCATCTCATTTATCACAAGTCCTTCTTCCATTAATTGGAAAAAAAATGTTTAAGCCTAAAATTTGTTAAAACACACTTTTAATACAACATCTAATCCAATTTTCATGTCATTCCACAGTAAGTGAATACTATTATCCCTCATTTTACATATGAAAAAAATTGAGTATAAGTCATTAAATAACTTGCTCAGAATAACTCTGCTATTGGAATTGAGAGACTAGCATTTAACTTGATGTAGGCATAGCATAAATTTCAATTATCATTCTGATGTTTGTGAGCTATTCTTCAAATTAAAAATAAAATGTTGAGCCTGGCCCGGTGTGGTTCAGTTGGTTGTGTGTTATTTTATGCACCAAAAGGTCACCAGTTCTATTACCCGGGTTTTGGGCTTGACCTCCAGCAGGGAGCATGCAGGAGGCAGCCAGTCGATGTTTTCTCTCATCCATGTTTCTATCTCTCTCTCCCTCTCCCTTCGTCTCTCTCTAAAATCAATAAAGGAATAAATAAATAAATAAATAAATAAATAAACAAATAAGATAAAGTTTAAAAAAATAATATTTTAAAAATAAAATCAAATATTGATTGGAAGAGATTATTGCATCCAGATAATATAAACTGTATGTGAGATTTAAAAAAATTTTTTTTCACTTGGCCAAACTCTATCTTCTAGTAACAAACATACAAAAACCTTAAAATACTCATTAAATTCTGTTTAATTTCTTTAAAACATGTTATATGAGTGACATAAAGGTGTAATAGTTTTTTTTGTTTGTTTGTTTTGTTTTTTACCAAAGTGTCTATAAATTGCCAAAGAGTTAGATATTCTCTCATACTTGTGGTCTTTTACATACTGACAGTCAACACTTCAGAGAATGACAGTAATCTGGGTCTAGATTAGAAAACCTGGGTTTAGTGTCTCAGTCTTTCCATTTCCCTTAGACTTTGCTTTTAGTGGGTGGGATTTAAAAAATCAATGTTATAACTTCTTCTTTCGTGATATATTCTCCAGATGGCTGACTAAAATCTATTCATCACCTTGAGGTTATTCAATTTATTCTAAGCAGAACGGGGGGGGGGGGGGGGTGGCAAACATGAAAACACATAAAAGAGCTTATTTGAGGATATAAATACTTTGTGTATTGGAATCTGTGGTAGAATTGTATTTTTCTAAATAAGAATATGGATGCTAACAAGAAGTAGATGTTAAGAGCCTTTGGATGTGTTCTGGGTTATTTTCTTTCTTGCTTATCAAACTTTGAATCTAAGAATCTAAGCCATATCTCCTGGCTCAGATGTCTAAGGAGGCCTGTTTGGCATATCTAATCTTCCTCAGTAGCAAAGAGTTATGATATCTCCAAGGACATTGAATTTACTTTACCTTCAGTAAAAGATATCTTTGAAAGGATATACATTTTAATAGATAGCAATGCACACCATTAAAAATTATAAAAGTATTTCTATTGAAACCTGGTAATGTCTTTTTGAATACTCATGATGGGGATTAAAAAGAGTGTTATATTTCTCTAACTTATGTTATGCTTAATACCCAAAGCAGAAGATTATATGGTTAACAAAGGCAGATACTGATTTTATGTTTTAAGGAGTATAATTGGCAAAACAGAAAAACCACATAGATCCAAAGGAATTTGTAAAAGTATAAAACTCAACAAAACCATATTATAGCAATTGAGAAAGTCCAAGTGGTTCTGAAGACAGAATTTATGGTCACCCTTCACCAGTGTTTAATGACTAAGATTGCTTAAAGAAGAAATATTTAATTAGTGAATGGCCTTTGTGTGACCCTCAAGAGCACCCCTCCCACAAATGATCACATGCTCCCTATCTAACTAAATTCATTTCTTTGTGTCCTAAACATGATCCCTCCTTTTGACCAAAAGGGTTATTATTTCAGCTCTTCTTTTCCCTTACCTATCCACATCCCACCTCCATAACACTTTGTACCTCATTTGGTCTTTTGCTCCATCACTATGGCTTTGAAAATCTTTTTCCATTTGTAATATCTTCCTTTTGCACCATCCATGCATATGGTTCCTTCCTTTAAATTTTAACTCTCTTCTTTGAGAAATATATTGTTCTCTTCCATTCTCAGTTGCTTCACCCGTACAAGCTTTTAGCAGTGTGCTAACTTGGATCTGTTGGTACGCTGTCTTGAAATAAGGGCTGTCAGTCTTTTTCACATGTTTACATTTTATCTCCCAAAGGAGATTATTTAAGAGAATGTCTTCTAAAAATTCCATCCACCCCAAGTGCCTAGAACAATGTTCACCCTATAAAAATTGATGAATAAAAGTTATTAGTTGATTGTTTGGCCTGTTATATTTTCTGTTCCAGAGAAACCAATACAACATAATTTGAAGATATTTTACTTCTTTAAAAGAATTATAAGGTGAGTACTGCCAAATTGTAACAATTTCCACACCACTAGATTATTTATTTTAAATAATAATACAGAGTGAGTGATGGCCACAAAAGTCATGCCCTTGAAGTGAGTATGGTGGTAAAGTCAAATATATTACTTAATTTAAAAAATCAAACAGGATGGTTAGAGTTAATATGAAACTAGATGCTGTCTTGAGTTTATTTTTGGTTCTCAAAGAGACTAGCTAGGGAGCTTCACTTGAATATCAGTCATGAAATATTTGAAAATAAATACAGATGTGATGTAAACTTTAAATTCCCGCTACATGTTTACAAGAACTCCTACGAGCATCTACTAATAATCAGAGCATTAGAAAATACATAATATAGGAAATGGGTGGGGGCTCTAAATAGCTTAAGATCCAAGGGTGGAGGGTGTTGGTTTGTTTTCAATCCATCTGCGGGTCGCTGATTAGATTCAGCACGCTGGCCAGCTCCACCGTCCGCGATTTATTGGCCTCAGAGAAGGGGGGGGGGGGGGGATGGCACCATCTGCTGCTTTGGAATTAATAGATAACTGAGAGGCAGGGATGAAGATACTGCGACAATCGTCGCAGTAGATGTTGATGCCGACTAGTTTTTGGGGTGTCTTTGTCTAATCTCAGGGTCCCTACTCCTCTACCCAGATCCTCTGGTGAGCCAGAATGGAGAAAGGGCTGAGCAACCTTCTGTTTCTCTGGTAGGCTCACCAGGGCAAGAAAGTGTTCCCAGTTCTTGGAATTGAAGGGTGTTCATCATAGCTTTTGCAGGGTAGGCAAGGGCAGGGATTCTACTTAAATTACTTGAGCTGCACAGTCAATACACAAATCCGCTCTAAATCTGATTCACTTTTATTTTAATGAGAGTGGGCGTAAAGCAAGTCTCTGGAATCTGAGTTTACACAGGTGGGACAAACACGCTGCCCAGCCCCTCGGCTCCCACGCCCAGGTACTAAGACTGGGCAAGGGAGATAGGCTCTCTGTTTACCACATGGGATCTCGCCGACTTTCTCTTAGTAAGACCTCTGGATTTTCCATCTTCGCTAACAAGTCATCACTGGTTGTGTATTTCTTCCTCCCCCGAGAACTTTTGTCAGCGGGAGGGGGAGAGAGGTCGAGGCAATGAGAGCTGAGGATCAAGGAGACAACTGTCCACAAAAGGGAGGGGTGAGGAGGGTAGGAAAGCATTAGGGTCGGTACTGAAGCACTGAGACTTTGGGGACGCTCGCGCCCTCCCTCCTCCAGCCCTCTGCAGCCACCCTTTACGCCACGGACACGGGAGAGTTAAGCCAATAAACACGTAAGCGCCGCTCCCTCCCCAATCGGCAAGTTGCCTCTTCGGCTCTTGGCTGCACCGACAGCTTGCAACACTCGGCATCTTTTCTGGAGGCGCCTTCTTCAGCGGCTGCAGATGGCATCCGGCTGCGGGCTCCAAGCTTGCAATTGACTCTCCCCCTTGCCCACCTCGGGTCCTCGGGTCCTCGGATCCTCGGACGCACCTCTCCCTTCCCCTCCTCCCCTCGCGCTCCTGGGTCTGAGCCCAGCTCCGGATCGCCGGGCGAAGAAAGCAGTCGCGGCGGCCGAGGCTGAGCTGTAGGGCGCTCGCTCCTTGATTTGGGGAGAAGCGCCCATCCGGGAGAGCCGACCCCCAGCTGCCTCCAGCGCCCCCCATCTTTTGCACCCCAAGCCGGGGGCTCCAGGGACCCCCTCCCCAGGCCGCACCATGTTGGACCCTTCGTCCAGCGAAGAGGAATCGGATGAGATCGTGGAGGAGGAGAGCGGCAAGGAGGTGCTCGGCTCGGCCGCGTCCGGCGCGCGCCTGTCTCCCAGCCGCACCAGCGAGAGCTCGGGCGGCGGCGCCGGACTGGGGGGCGGCGGCGGTGCAGGCGCCGGGGCCGGGGTAGGCGCCGGCGGCGGTGGGGGCAGCGGCGCGAGCAGCGGCGGCGGGGCCGGGGGGCTGCAGCCCAGCAGCCGCGCCGGTGGCGGCCGGCCCTCCAGCCCCAGCCCGTCGGTGGTGAGCGAGAAGGAGAAGGAGGAGTTGGAGCGGTTGCAAAAAGAGGAGGAAGAGAGGAAGAAGAGGCTCCAGCTCTACGTGTTCGTGATGCGCTGCATCGCCTACCCCTTCAACGCCAAGCAGCCCACCGACATGGCTCGCCGGCAGCAGAAGGTAGGTGCGCCTGGGAGGCCCAGGCAGCAGCGCCCGACGTCGCCAGGCGGGCGGGGCGAACAATGGGAGCTGGCGGCGCAGCTGGCGGGGAGGAGCAGAAGGAGGTGGAGACCGCGCCCAGGAGAAGGGGCTCTCAGGCCCCCTCCCCGCGACCGGGACCCGTGAGGGGCCTGGAGCGCAGTGGCGCGCGCCCGGGCCTCCCAGGGAGCGCTGGGAGGCGAGCCTGGCAGGTCCCGCTCAGTGGCCCTGGAGGAGCTGGGAGTGACTTGCAGCCTGCGGCGCCCATAGAGGCCTTGCTCGCTGACGGGGTTCCTGGCACTCTCCAGCGGCCGGCGGCTGCACTCAGCTCCCGGCCCGCCCTCTTGGGCGTGCGCTTGTCTGGCGGGGGCACCCGGCAGGTGGGGGCGCCCTTGTGGAGAGAAAAGAGCGCCCCGAGCAGCGCTCGGCTCACCCGCGCTGAGAGCTCCCGCCCGGCCAGGCGGGAGAAAGCAAACCGGGATGGCGAAGCTTCCAGTCCCACTGCGAAGGGCATTTCCCTCCCTCCGCCCGGGTCAGCTGATCGCCGACTGGAGTCGCCTAAGGGTCCTGGGGCACCGCTTCCGCCTGGCCCGGGTTCCCTCCAATCCCTCTTCCTCACTGACCCCAGAGCAGGGGCACCTTCCTCTGGTCGTTCTGCCTCGGTCAGGCCCTCTACCTTCCTCCCTTTGACCCTCTTCTCTTCCCAAGGTGACTTCGCCGCGACCTTCTGGCTTTCCGAGGCCCCAGTGCCTTGCCACCGCTGCTAGATAAAGTGCCGCTGCAGAAAGCCTCGCAGTTACACGCATCAGAAGCTTTGTGTGTCTGAGGCTGGGGCAAGGCTGAGGTGGCCGCGGGCCGCCTTTGACATGGAAAAAAAGCGCTTATTTCTATCCCCTGTTCTCCAGCCAGAGAAAGGAGGCGGGGCGGTGACTGCAGGATGAAGGGGGTGGGGCTCGGAACTAGAAGGGTAGGGGTCAGGTACTCTGGCCCAGTGAGTCAGTGAAGAAAGTCAGCATTGTTCTGTGTCCTAAGTGACTGTGCAGCACGTGAGCTATCGGAAAAGCCAGGGAAGGCCTCGGGGGCGGGGGGCGGTGTGCAGGCAGCTCCAACCCCCTCAAGGTGGTGCGATCAGTTTCTTAAAATAGTGAATTTATGGTGGCTGCCAGTTAAGACTGAATTTTATGTTTCTGTAGTAGAGTCTGAGGTTTTCCTATATTCATCCCCCTTATCTTGAGTGAGCACAGATTTTTCTGTTTGCTTTGCTTGTATATGTACACACACCAGACAGCACTGAAGATTTATTTCAGCTAGCACAAGCTTGGGTATCAGTTTTATCAAATACAAAACTCATTTCCTGGTTGAGAAATAACAGGTGGTCTACACACTCCATCACTAGCCTCTTGCTTTTTCAACCTGTACTTTGGGCTACAGTAGAGCAAAAGTATCCTCAGAATAGTAAAAGGTTTTTGGATATCTTTTAATATCAGGTGATGAGTCCACGCACAGGATCTCATATTTCAGGTTTCAGCTTGGAATTATTATGGTAATTGTGTCTTTAAAGATGAAATTCCATCTTTAAAATTTATCCCGTTAAGAAGACCACCAACCAAAGATGTCCCAGTTATTAGGCAATGAAAACTGTTGTGATTTAAAGAAAAAATAAGAAACAAACTTCCCTTGATCAGTCAAAAGGCTTTAGAGCTCTGTGCTTTAAGTAGATGCTTTCATCCAGCACCAGAGGGAGAGAAACCCATTCTCAGAGACTGGTTCTTCTAGGCAACCCTCCGCCACCTGAGAAAGATGATCAGGAGGCCACGTGTTTCTGATCTGACTTGTATGTTTTATCTGAATTCATTCAAAGCTGTGCTTTTAGGGGCAAGTAGTTTTTCTTTTTACATGTGGCCATCAGAAAGACCACAGAATAGATTGATAACACTTGGTCAAACTATTTTTAGTAATTGCAACAAATTAGTGCTAAATACACAACCTAGCAAAGCTGTCTCAGGACTGCCAGCTATCTTGGGAAGCTGAATATCTATCTCTTTATTATAAGAAAAACCAAACTTTTCTATTGCTGTATCTTTAAGTTTTTAGTGTCTTTCTGGAATAGGGTATTTTGCTATTTTTCTCCAAGAAGAAAGCTTGGAACTTGGATGAGAGAGAGAGAGAGAGAGAGAGAGAGAGAGAGAGAGAGAGAGAGCGCCATCACTGAGAGTAACTGAAAAGTTTCCATAATCACTGATAAAATTCAAAGCCAACAAATAAGATTGATAAACTGAAGTTAGTCTTGGAGAAATATAAACAAGTTGTAAAATAAACATGAGTTTGTGGTAGACTGGAAATGGATGAACTAGAAAAAGCTATAAAACATGATGTAGAGAAAGGTAATAGAGTAACAGAGGGAGAGAAAGAAAACTGCCTATGAAAAAAAGTTGCTGAATTGGGGAAAAAGAGTAGATCATCTTGTCAAATCATCACACTATGTGCCTGCAACTTAGACAATGTTATATGCCATTTATCTCAATAAAGCTGGGGATAAAAAAAGATCATATTATACTGCATCTGATATACGTTATGAAAACAAATAGTCTATATTCATAATACTGGCAGCCAGTTTTCAAGTACCTAGTATGTGCAAGGCACTTTACTTAGATCATTTTAAAAAATAGCTTAATTTTTTAGAGGTTTTAAATTTACTAAAAAATTGAGAAAATAGTACAGAAAGTTCCCATATACCTTTTACCAGTTCCCCCATTGTTGATATCTTACTATAATACGGTACATCTGTTACAATTAAAGAACCCATATTGATACATTATCATTAACTAAAATATATAGTATTCATGTTTTATTAGTTTTTACTTACATTTCTTTTTCTGTTCTTAGGTCATTTTAAATTCTAATAATCCTGATAACATAGGAATAACCATCCTCATATTTAGAAGAGAAAACTGAGCTCAGAAAGGTTTTGTAACTTGCCGATGGCACGTGCGCACCGGTGAAAGCGTGGTGATTGAGGCATGGGGCATTCGGATTTCAAATCCTTCTTTTAATATGCAACACTGGCCAGAAATATTCTAAAGTGAAAAACAACCCTAACGTCTTGCAAACATGTCAAGTGTCCTTTTTACCCAGGGTTATTTCTACTGGAGTTGAGAGAGGCCTACACCCCTCCCTTAGCGCATGTATCGAATACAGTGGTCCTCTCTGATCCACAGGGCATATGTCCAAGGCCTCCGTGGATGCCTGAAGCATAGACAGTACTGAACCCTAAATGTACTATGTTTTTCCTATACATACACTCCTATGGTAATTTATAAATTAGGTACAATAAGAGATTAACAGCAATATGTAATAATAAAGTAGAACAATTTTAACAATATACTACAATTAAAGTTAAGTGAATGACTTTGGGGTCATTATTAAGTAAAAATGTTTCTTGAACATAAGCCCTGTGGTACCACAATCGTCAGTCGGGTAGTTCAGAGAGCTACTAAGTGACGAATGGAGTGGTGGCATACACTGTGCGGACAGGCTGGACAAGGGACAACTTACGTCTGGGTGGGGTGGAGGAGAGGGGCATGAGATCTCATCATGCTATTCAGAAAGGCACACAATGTAAAACTTATGAATTGTTTATTTCTGGAACTTTCCATTTGATATTTTTGGACCATGGTTGACCACAAGTAACTGAAACCGCAGATAAGGGGGCACTACTGTAGTCAACATGGGCAGAATGTACTTTTAGGCACTAAGCTCATAAAGAGTATGAAGGAGAGAGTTGGGCTGTTCGCCGATATATCTGAACACCAGACTGTTGTCAGTCTTTCCACGTTGTCTGAGCTGGAAAAAAAACCCAAACAAACAGCAACTCTTTTAGTCCAGAAGAATAACGGGAAGGGGCAGAGCCAGCAGGTGCCATCGCTGGGTAATTCTAAGTTAATTTGGTTTCCCTTTTACTGCAAAGGAGTGCCTGGACATTCCAGCAATTGTCTCAGTAACAGAAGAGACTTTAAACAGACTATGCGAAAATGTAGTTTACCATTTATAGATATATTTTTCTTGTACTACTGTGAATCTAAATACAACGTGCTGGTAATGATAATTTATGACCAAAATAAAAATCTGGCCATCATGCTGTCACCATATATGTTTCAGCAGCTCATAAATGACAATTTGAAAAACAGTTCTGGGCTTATTTTTCTTCTTTTGTCAGAATGGTAGAGTGCATACCTAGAAGTTGGCATGGCAAAGCTACACCATATGTTCCTAAATTATGCAGTGGCGGTGATGGGTGGCTACCTCGTGTGAACTAGCTACTTACAGCTGTTACTGAGGGAGTGTAGAAGCAGGCCCTGTAAACAATTGTGCACTATTTAGATTGCCATGAAAAGTGGCTAGGAATTATTTATAATATCTGAATTACAGATGTCCAAAATGAATATCATGTGCATGTGTAGGTTTGTGTACATGTGTGTCTGTATGTGCACATGTGTATATGCTGAGAGAAAGGGGCAATCCTAAAACTGTGTCTTTTCTATATAAACTCCCATTTCATTCAGGGGGACTTTAGACCAAGTGAGTTGTAAGTTCAAGCTACTCACTTCCATGTAATTCACCTTACATCTTGCCATGAAAATATGGCTAACATTGAGTCACTGTTAGCCATAGAAATCCCATCTTTATTCATTTACTTATTTGACTTTGTTGGTGATGACTCAAAAGCCCATACCTTTCATAAAATGTAAGACCTACTGTTAGTTAACTATATATATGTATATGAGTGTGTATATTTTAAGTGAATACTAGTGACTCATTCATTCAGATATGTTTTGAGGCATTTTGGGTTAGCTCCACTATGCAGTATTCTTAAGCGTTGCTTTGCATTTCAGAAAACAAATTCTCCAACCTTTGAGAGAACTAAATGACTATTAAGTCAGATTCCTTTTTATTTTTTATTTTATTTTATTTTTTTTTACCCT